CAAGACGTGTATCCTATATATATATATATATATATATATATATATATATATTTCAATTTATTAAAGCGCTGTGCCTAATTGTAAAGATTAAATCTGCCTATTTTAATATGTAAATTTAATTTGTCTGCAAATTGCATTGCAATTGCAATTATTGCTGCTACACAAATTTTGAAAGCAAGACTAGACTTCTTCATAAAATTATCTTACAATTCGTTTTCTGTAGGATTTTGGAAAAGCAATCAAATTTTAACTCTTTCTTAACTGAAAACTGCAATATTTATAAAATATTGCTTTTACATTTTGATAATAGAGCGAATTAGTTGTGTTTTCTTAATAATTATAATTAATATTAGTTAATAAATAGTTTTAATTTTAAATAATTAAAGCTAGTTTAAGAATTTAGTGGTTCTGTGCCGCATAAGAACTTTTTTTTGTACTTTCCAATTAACTCCACTCTCAGGTATAAAGCTCTTTTATTTTACTATCCCTTAATCCTTGAATTCTAACCGTGATCCTTCAACTTTTGAAAGTCATTTCGCAGTGAAATCACGTGATTTTGACAAAATGCGAATTCTCAAATATTTGAAAAAACAACTGACTTACTCGTGTGACTTCTCAGCGAATTTTAGTATTTCTCTAAACTTTTTAGAGTATAAAACCATTTATACAGAAGGACGAGATGGTGCAGGGTTTAGTGCTTTTGCATACCAAACATGTTACCCAGGTTAGAGTTCTTCACAAATGCTATAAATAAGTACTCGATCCCTTATACTCATTTTAATTGACGTTGTATTTCCTACCATTAGTGTTAGAGATGTGTGGCATTAATCCTAATGCTTTATACGAAATTTGTATCCTTAAACCAATAAAGATAGTAATTTCTTCGATTTGATTAATTTTTTCGATCCCTGAAAACATTTAGCAAAAAAAAAAAAAAAAATGATTTCGAAACAGTAAAAGAATTTTTTGTAAATTTTGAGTTCATTTTTTACATTATACCCTCTCAGAAAATAATACAACGTTTAACCGTAATATTGGTGTAAAAATTAGTATAACTTCAATATGTGATTGCTGAACCATGATTCTTTTCAAACTGACGCATAGTCTCGTGTTTTAAGGTAATATATTCATCTTAGCACCTTCTATGACTGTAGCAAATTTGCACGATACTGCGTTTTAAAGCACTGCAAAATTTCTAACTGTGTAAGAGTCTTATTATTTTGTATTTCATTTTATTACTTATAATCATAAAATGTTTTCTTTTTCTTCTTACAGATTTCTTTTATCAAAGTGATTTCTTACAAAAAAAATTACTTGTGTGCAAAGTTATAAAAGGTTAAAATGTAACTGGACTCATTGATCCAAATCCCACACCTAAAGCATCGAACTATAAAGCTTTTATTTTTTATTTCGAATCTTTATTTCTATTTACTATTTCCCAGTGAGAATCGGCATTAAAATCTAGCGTTATTTATGACCATGTGTAATGAAAACGCTGCCTGATAAAAAAAGACTTTAAATGAGAATAACAGGAATGATACCGTTAACTGTTACATTACAAAAATGGATTTCCTTTTTGTGTGTTAAACAAGTAAATTAGAAATATTTATAATTCCTCTTTATACCGCAAACATAATTTTTTTTTACTCTTTCAGAATCAGACATCAATAAGTTCTGCAACAGTAAAATAACAAGCACAAGCGGCTATATATCTTCTCCTGGATATCCAAGATACTACACTAAAGTGTCCAACTGCACGTGGACCATTGAGTCTTCAATTATGCAAGAGATGAAGCTGACAATTCTAGATCTCAACATGAGGACTGGCATACAAGCAAGGGGTAGAGAAATTTGCCCCGATAATTTGATGGTTCTAGAAAATGGACATAAAATCCGGTACACATGTGGCCACTTGAAAAAAGAAACTATGATACCTCTGACCACTAGGGGTGGCTTAGTAAAAGTTCGGTTCCAAAGCAACGAGTTCTTGCCGTCCAGAGGATTTTTATTATACTACAAATGTAAGTCAGTTTGTCGATATATTTATAAAAAATTATACGATATTTATTTATTGAATCTTGGAAAGGCAATCTGGCATACTCTTACAAAAAAAGGGTGTTTCTGAGGTTTACAGATGTAAAAAAACCTCACCTGAAGTCAGAAATGGTATTATGAATTGCCCCAAAAATAACCTCAAACACACCTCATAAAATCAACCTCTTATATAGCACAGCGATACTTTTAGTTGAGATCGGATGAAATTATTCGCACCTCAAAGCTCTTAAGTAGATTTCCTTCAGCATCAAAGCAAACTGAAGTGTAAATAAAACAATTTCCTGCAGCTTCGGTGGTTGATCTTTTAAGGATGTTTTTTAAAATTGAGTCAACTTCAAATAAGCCTTAAATCAAACTTAACACCTCAAAACAACATCAAATAATCCTCAAAAACACCTTAAATTTTCGTAAGGGATTTTCGAGGCATCTATTCAAAAACTAAGTAACTGACTCCCAATGAAAAGAAATGAAATATGTGAAGATTTCTGAAAAAAAAAACACAGCAATATTTTAGCTACTTGAACTACTTTTGAAATACCTTTATCTTCGTTAATAGTGTGTTGTCTGTTGTTATTTATGTTTTCATTGCTCGAAATTCTTTACTAAAGTCATTTTAAATTCTCTTTATTTTTTTCCATCTCATTTTCTCCCTTTAGGCATGTGAAAAGTACTTTTTTTTCGTCAGCGGATACATTCGCATCCACATTAGATATGTCTGCATGATAGAAACTAATTTATACTAGTGATGAATATTCATTTTAACTTAACACTTTTTATTACTAATTCGTTTACTCATTTATGTTGTGAAAGTAACAAGGTTTGTTAAAAGAAAATCATGCACTAGTTAAATATTTAGCGCAAGTTTAAAATTATCTACTAAAAATGTCAACTTAGACAGTCAACTTAATGAATAATTCAGCCCTAACACTTATTATTTAATAATGATTTGCTTTCTTCATTCATGTTAAAAGTCTGCATCTAATACAATTACTATATATTTGGTGATAGGAACCAGCTATATAATTAGAATCAATCCTAAATAATTTCGTGGAAAAATTTAAAAGCAATTAAAATTAATGAATAGCTTAGACATGACAATTTTTTTTAAGAAAAGCTCGTCTGATTCATTCCCGTCAAAATGTAACTGAAATATGATTATTTCTTTCAGTTAATGGATGCCGTCAACTTCCCCCACCGCGACTAGGCTACCTCGTATACAGTAATAACCGATCAGCCCTTTACATGTGTTGCAAAGGACACGTCTTCAATGATTCACTATCCAACTCTCTGTTACTTCAATGCATTGATGGTACATACTGGAATGGTACCGTCTCGAGTTGCATGAGTAAGTTCAATCACCCTTAGCTCAGAATGTCAGTTAATGTAACTGTTGATTTGTGTATCGACAATTTATGTAACCAGGAATATTAGTTTCTCGTATTAATTCGTTACTTAGATTTACAGTGGTCTGTCCAAGCAAAATTTACAACCGTTTAGCGGTATCTTCACAAATTCAACTTAAGGAAAAACAATAGTTTCACAAAATATTTTTTCTTAAAATTTTATTTTTGTATCTCGTAAGAATCGTATTTCTACCACATTTTTGTGCTGGTTTTTTAATATAAGTTTTAATTTTCACAAATTATGTCTAAATTTTCACAAAATATTTACCTTTCAGAAAAACCTAGACAGACTCCTGAGATATCGGTATCATATTGCAGGTTATAAGATACTGGACGAAATAAGGAATAGCAAGATAAAACTTGGATGTACACTATAATTTTAATACCTAATAAAATATCCCAACCAAACTCTCAAATAAGCATGAAGAAATTGCTACATGTAACAAATTTATCAATTTTCTGCACGAGAAAACTCGACAGCTCATTTAATTTTGATCAATTCCTGGTGAATTGATATATTCCAATATGTTTAGGACTGACAAAATCTTATGAGTTGCAAATCTAATCCCACGGCTAACTTTCTGCCCGACAAGGAACTTGGCGTCGATTTCAAATCTTGTTTCACCATATCTTTCTTCCACTATCCATCTATCCTTTATTCTGTGGGTATATGAATGCGACCCATCCTATAAACAACTGTAAGATCGAATGAATGGCAATGATTGCGCTACTTTTGTGATTCAAAAGTATTCCTTTTATAGTACTTTTGGACAATTGAATTTCGACAAGAACCAACTGGCTGGGCGTAACTGCTACTGGCTCAATGCCGAATAATTGATTTCTCAAAGAAAGTGGATGGAGTAGGAGTCATATTTTATATAAATTATGAAAGATTTTCAATGAAAATGTGACCATCATAAAACAGATAAATGTGTGTAGTACAGACCTATCAAATTCTCTGGCTTCTAGCCGGAAATTTTTCCCACTCTTTAAAAGTGGCAGTGAAATTTCGGTCTTATCATTAGATTTTAAATGATTTTGTTTACCAGAATATATAAATAATTAAAACACATATATAAATGTCGGAAAAGCAAGCACACTAAGGAAAAAAATTATATTAAAATAACAGCACGGTATGGTAACGACATTTCTGTTAAAATAATAATTTTAGTATTAAAAACCAAAATATACGGGAACCATTTTGTTAGTTATTTCGCTCATATGGTAATAGTTTACCGGCAATTCTGGTTTTCAAAATTATAGTATGTTATTATATTACCACACATTTAGTGAAAAATACAAAACTGAAAGGTTTATGTGGGGGAGGGGAGTATGTCAATCGACAATGTCAACGACAATCAATCTATGAAAAATTACCCCAACATAGAATCGAGTTAACATGTTTTATATACTAGGGAATTGGAATTTTGTAGTGGTAGATACTCTACAGCACTCCCCCACCAGAATTTTATCTATGATCCTCGATGCTGTCTTACCAGAATCTTCGATGAATGGAGTACCACAAGTTGATTCATTGCTGTTTTGTGAGAGACCGGGAGAACTGTGTTAAGATCACCGTACTTTTTGAGTCCTGATCATAAGAACTGTATTAAGTTCACGGTCTTGGTCACTCCTTTGTTGCCTTTAGCAATTGAGTGTATACGTTGTGTGTGATCGAGACTGAGAAGCAACAGCGTGAGGAGGACAATGTCGCAGTCTCAAGTAGCAAGTAAAAAAAAAATCCAAATTTGTACAAAATCGATCGTATAGTTTACTTAAATGAATTCGCTTTTTTTTACAATATATCTTTAAATGAATTCGCATTCTTTAATTTTCTCTTAAAAAATTATTGAAAAAGCGTGATGAAAAGAAAAAAAAAGAATGGGAGAATATGATCACACTTTTTTAAATTGCTAGTACACAATTGGGTACTTACAACTCGAGAAGAAGACAATCACTGATGCACAGACACGTGTCCTATGTCATCAACGCCAGCTGATCGCTTATAAACAAGATGGCGAGTTAATATCGAACTAAGTTTCTCTACTTAGATTAGAAAGTTATTTAAAGTGAAGTTATTTAAATTCAAAGTCACGTCGCACATCGGATTTGTTAAAATATTATTCCTTCTCGTCTACATCTTTTACTTAGCTTAGATTTAGTATTTGTTTTTTTTTTCTTCCTATAACTGTGATATAGTTTTGTTTTGTGTACATAATTAATTTATTTTCGACATGGCTTCGGGCCTTTCTTTGCGTTAAGTAACAAATATATAGTGAAACAATTGAAATCTTCGTGAAAGAAAATAGAATATATCAATCAAGAGAATTGATACTTAACGGGCGTTGCTTACTCCAAATAGAATAGAAAGAACAGTTGATAACGTAAACAAATACCACGATTTAATAACCAATCAGGATCGAGATACCCACAATACGTTACTTGCAGGTATCCCATTAACAGTATTTTAAGAAATGTGGTTATTCATTTTTAAATAAAAAGCATAAATATTCGAGTAAAATATTGATTCAATAAATATGCTATTTAAAAACTAATTTTTTTATGTTTTAATTTAATTTTAGGTATGGAAGAAGCCATTCGTCTCAGAAGCAACGATACGAATTTTGCAACAACGCCAAATGTTGATATAGTCGAAGTGTACCTAAGAAAGCACAATTATGTAGAAGGTAATTTTTAAAACACCTTTAAACTCCCAGACAATCAGAAAATTTTGACATTAAATTCATATTTGAAAATGTGTGGTGACTAATAATGTTACGAACAAGAAGAAAGAAGTTACAGGAATTTTGTTTTGTTGTCAAAGTACTAAATAACTTTTAGAACTTCAATGAATTTTTTCTTGAAAATATAAAGCAATAAAATTATAGTTAGTATTTTTGGTTAGGACCTACTAAATTTAATTCTGCACATTTACCTATTATTATAATTTGCAAATTAACTTTTATTTTTCTCAAAGCTGATGATTTGGGTGATTCTGAAAAATTGACGAACAAAAATTACACAGAAACAACCATGTTTATCAAAAATCTAAAAACGAACAAATATATAATAATAAACTACAACATTTAGAACTACTAAAAAATATTTCTTCAAAATATAAAGCAATAAAATTATGCAATTAGCATATTTTGATAAGTTATTAATTTAATCTTGTACATTTGCCTATTATTAAAATTTATAAAATTACCATTTGTTATTCTTTAAACTGATGAAAACCAATTTGAGGGATTCTGAAAAATTTCCGAACAAAAATTAAACGAAAACATTTATCAGATACCTAAAGAAAAAGACAAATGTATAATACTAAATTACATTTCAATAAATACTGATTGCGGAATTTAATCGGCATAATTGTTTCACAAAAAATAATGGAGAATCTAAAAAACAGAGCTATACTATTTAAATTCTTATTGGGTGACAATTATGAGTATTTCATATTTCAGATATATATCAGTTTATCAGATATCTCTGTTTATTTGTAAAAATTAAAGAAAGATGATTAATATCTACTTCTTATTTTGAATTTGCCCCCTCTGTTTTGATCTCTTTCATTTATTGTGAAATTTCAATTATTATTTATTTGTGAAAATTAAAGAAAGATATCTACATCTCATTTAGAATTTGTCCCCTCTGTTATAATCTCTTTCATTTATCGTGAAATTTCAATTATTGTCTATTTGTTGAAATTAAAGAAAGATATCTACATCTCTATTAGAATTTGTCCCCTCTGTTATGATCTCTTTCATTTATTGTGAAATTTCAATCATTGTTTATTTGTGAAAGTTAAAGAAAGATAATTAATATCTACATCTTATTTACAATTCGTTCGCTGCGTTTTCATCCCTTTAATAGTTAAGTCCGTTCGGAAGAAAAGAAGCTTCCTTATATATTAATTTGTGACAGCTGTATACTTCATTTTTAACAAAGATTCTAAAATTGCATATGCAGAGCGGTTATTGCGAGACACCCTAAATAATCATATTTAATGTAACTACATTAAAAGAATTAACCTTGTTGATTATAGGATTTTTGAAAAATCAGTTTTTCTGAAATTGACTTTAATAGAGGACGGTAACTGATTTTTTCTTTTCTTTTTTTTTACTCAGAAACGACGAAATTACACATTTCGTTATTTTGAATGTTACAGTTCGCATTTATTGTGGCTGAAATTGTGATTTACATTTATTTGGAATTTACTTTATAAGATTAAAATCGCGAATTTCTAAATTTTTTTATTTGAGCTTTGAAATTTAAACTTCCTAGAACACACATTGTAAAAAATTCCTGATCAAGTTACGGTAAAAAGTATCGAAAATATGGTAAAAAGTAAGCTCTTTTTACCATAAAATCCATTTTAACCGTAAAATTTTACGGAACAAAAATCCGATATACCGTAATCTTTGCAATTATATTTTCTGTAAAATCACAAAAAATAAATAAATATTACTGCAAAAATTGCGTTATAAAACTTTACGGTAAAAATGATTGTTCGGGAAATTGGATTTTACGAATGCTGCACTCGCAGTGCCAGTTGTTTTTTTTACCGTCATTTGATTCAGAATTTTTAGAGTATATATTTTTATACCTCTAGTTTTAATTTTAAAATCATCGTGATGATTAGTGGCACGTCGTAATATTCTCATAGAATAAAAATATTGATTACTGTAATATGATTAACAATATTTTGTATATTTTTAATTATTTCTATTATTTGAATCAATAGCATATTATCGTTTAATTCTAGGACTATACGCGCTGTGAGTACATTCTATACCAAAATCGTGTATTTAAATAATAAAATTGTAATATTGTTACTGTATTTCAATAATAATTCATTAACTATAATTTTTTTTCCACAGAGATCCTTATTCCAATGGCCTGTGTTGTTGGTCTCGTTTTTGGAAATGTGGCTATAATACTGCTTATACAAAAGATTAGAAAGTAAGAAAATTTCTTAACTTTTTGAAAAAAATTTGCAAATGTCAACATTTTTTTAGTCATAGATCATACTGTTTTGAGACTAATTAAAAATTAATAATGATTTTAGGATATTAAAAAAGCAAATTTATTAAAACAGAAGAGTTATTTTTGATGAATACTTTTCATGCATATGGGGCAAAAAAAACACCCTTAATCTACAGATTGAATTTTTCTTGCTTTAAGATTCAACCTTAATAATTCGAGCGCCTAACATTAAATATGCTTATTAATTAGAGCAGACAATATTTAAGTTTCGAAATCAGACACAAAACGTACTTTAATTTTGTTAGCGAATAGTAAAATTCTTTCTCTTATTTATAAGATTCGTCCATCCAAGCATCAATGTAATAAAATAATTTTAACGTAATAAATTTAATTTTGTTTTAATAACAGCTGAAAAGCTTTGAATTATAAAGGACACAAATTTTTACATCATTTTAAAATATGTAATTTTAATTGACGAAATACAAAATTCGAACTTTGAAATTGAATAGTCGAATAAATTTTAAGAGTAAATTTTAGAATAAATTTTAAATGTTCAATTTTTTAAAACTATTCGATAAATTTCATTCAAATATTTTTATATCGATTTAAAATGATATTCTTTATAATGACGTAACAAATTTTATACCTTACAATCCAAATTTCTTCGACAGTTAATAAATAAAATAATAAGTAATATATAAAAATTATTTTTTACGCAGAATTAATTAATAAAAATATTTTTTTACACAGAATTACCTTTGGATAAACAAATTTTTTAACTGTGTGGATAAAAAAATTTCGATGCTCTTAAAAATTTCAGGTGATACGCAAAAATTTAAATTAACAAAAAGGGGAACAACAATAAGGCGACTGCTCTTTTGCTTAAACTATTGGCAACACATTTTCCAGATTGCCACTATCCCAATATTTTGAGGATTTTATGTGTATTCAGAGAAAGTACGTTTTTGTGCTTATTTTCGTAACTTAAAATATCGTCTGCACTAATTAATTATCATATGTAAAGTTAGGCAGTCAAACCATTAAAATTTAGACATGGTACGTAAAAGTAAGATCATTAGACCAAGTTATTCAGGGTACACATTTTTTCTGCACACTAGAGTGTAGCGTTCTGCACACTTAAGATAGATTTGAAATTTGTGGTAAATTTTAGAGCTACATGAAAAAATAATGGCATTAATAAACACCAGTTTTATTACTTCATATTTTTAACTCTATTTTGTGACTGTTTATCTCACTATCAATTTTTCGACCACACTTTGGTTACCTAGCTATTTGCTTATTTTTCAGGCGCTGAAATTACTACCAAATAGAATTGAACGCAATAAAATTTCAACCATTTCAATTTGAACTATCACGCAACAAAAATTCAAAAATAATAATATTGATAAAAGAAAAATCGTTTAAAAAAAGCTTATATTATTACCTAAAATTTCTTTACGTTTTAAAAACTTCTTCATTATATCATCATAATTGATGACACGACAGCCCTGGGTGGGCCCTGGTCTTCTTATGAAGATTTTTCCAGTTCACTCTTTTGCAATGTAACTGTTCTTCAGTGCAATAAAAAAAAATTTTATTTTAAGACGACTTTTCCATTGGAATACATACTCATAAAAATATTATGAAATATGTAGGCATAAAAAATAATCTTCTGAATGTCTAATAAGCTCTCATACAGAAATTGTAACGTTGGCTCAAAATAAAAATATTGGTTTTTCTTAGTATCTCTGGAATTAATGCACGGATCTTATGTTTAATTTGTTTATACAATTTTTTTTTAAAATTTAGATTAATTAATTTTTAAAAATTATGTGTTGCTTCTTAGTATAAAAAAATTTAAACCATAAAGCCTATTTTTTGCTGATGCAGAAGTTTTTCAAACCTGACCTATTTTAAGATATCCATTAACTACCAGCATAAATTCTAATTTATTTTTTTTTAATTGATTAAAACTGAACATTTTATAATCATCACTCAAATGGGATGATCAGTTTCACTAAAAAAAAATTTTCACCACAAACTCACTTATGAAATAAAGCTGATTTGAGCTCGGAAATTACATAATTTATTGCTTTTATTAAAAACGAAATTATCTGTTTGAAAACATCACCTCGCAGAATTAGCTGTAGTAAGCAGCAGTATACTTTCTAACCAGAAGTAGAGCAGGTCAAGAGCACGAGATAGTTGTTGTCTACATTTACATTGAAAACATCCTCCATATCTTATATTACAACGTCACTAATGTTTATTTATTTTATTTTTTTAGAAAGAGAAAGACAAGCGCATCTAATCATAATGGCCGCTCAACCAGTGAAATGAAGAAATCTACTTCCAAACCACAAACTCTACAAGTACCAGTCAATATACCAATAGACTCAACCATTCCCCCAATAACGAATCTACCAGGATCACCAAGAGCAGTTAGTATAGTGCCTGCATCTCGACCCATTCCAACAATCAAGCAAGCACCAAGAGTACTTATGACTGACTTATAGTCCATAATTCCACTTTATTTATTTTAAAAATTTAGCCAATTAATGCTAGGAGCTGAAAAGCATACTTTTGGCTTCTTTTTAGTGTTTAATTCTGTGCTTCAAATGAAATTAAACAAAATATTTGACATGTACTTAAAGAAGAGAAAAATATTTCTATGAAAGCCACAGAAAATATGAAAAATCATGTATATTTTAGATGCCATGCATTTTTTAACATAATTTTCAAAACTGAAGACAATATATATATGTATCATAAGTTAAAATACAACGAAAACATCGAAGACAATAACTTAAAATACCGGAAAACAAAATAAGGGAGAGATATAATCTTGTCATCAGCTCACACGATCATATCCACAAAAAAGAGTGCTTTCTGATATCGTATTAATACAGCCAAAGCAAAAAATTTCTTTAAAAAAATTTTTCTTTTTTCTACATGTTTTCTTCAGATTTTTAACTTATTTTTGGGGTTCTATGTACTTGCAGCTTATGCACAGTAAACAAAACGATATACATAAAAGAAAATCCATATATGTAGTAAAACTATATATAGTAAAGTAAAATTGTATAAATTATTATTTACAACGCGCTTAGATTTTTTTTCAGCAGAAAAAATAATAATAAACTGGTGCATAGAATCTAAAAACATCCGGTGCTAAGCCATGCTCTAATTTGGCGTAAAAAAAAGATTCATACGAATTAGTACAAAATGAAAAATGTTGAAAATCATCCTTTTTCCAGAAATGTCAGACAAATAATAAAAAGAGACGTTCTCTTAAGAAAAACACAAAATAGGAAATATAAGCTATTGTAAATAATAAATTATGAAAAATATTTACTTCATCAACGATATTTTCTGTGATTTAACGATGAATTTGTATTTGTGAATCTAGTCACGATTGCTTCATATTAGAGAATATTTTTTTAGTTTATTTCGAATATTTTTATATAGCTAATATTTATTATACTGTGCAACATTTTTACTCGAAGTACATAAAACTTTACTTTATTAACATAACAATGTTATTTAAAATATTTTACTGAAATATTTACCATTATATAGGTACAGGTACATAAAGTTTTATAAGTCACGATTGCTTCATATTAGAGAAATTTTTTTAGTTTATTTCGAATATTTTTATATAGCTAATATTTATTATACAGTGCAACATTTTTACTTGAAGCACATAAAACTTTACTTTATTAACATAACAATGCTATTTAAAATATTTTACTGAAATATTTACCATTATATAGATACAGGTACATAAAATTTTATAAGAATTAAATGATATCTTAATCTAGTTTCAAAACCAGATAGATTACATGACAAAGGGGACCCTCATGACATAGGGGTGTGGACCCCAAATGGGGTAGAGTTAAACATGTTTTTAATCATATTTTATTTTCATAAAAAAAAAATATGGTAATTGACATTAAGCCTGATACGAAAATCATCCACACGAGAAAAATACGAAAGATATAGCACCAGGGCTTTATCTTTTTTAATTACTAGTTTGAGTTTTGAAAATACATAAGGAACTCAGATCTTAACTAATAAAAGTATTTGTTGCATTTATTTATTTAAACTATTCGTTATTATTTGGTGGATGATTTTTGGTTTGAATTTGCATACTGTAAATGAAGTTCAATTTCTTTATCTCAATTATCTGTTTTGAGAGGTCATTCTCGCTTAATGACTTATAAAGAAAATTATTTTTATAAATCCTACGTCACAAACTTATATTAATGCAATTTAGAAATATGCATTGCTAGCCACAAGACTAATTTGATATACATATTTTTAGCTTTTTAAAAAAGTCATGACTTCTATGTAATTTGCGTTTAGAAAAATAGAGGCAGCAGCATCTAAACCCGTTTAAACAGGAAAAAAAATGAAAAAGTAACAATCGATGTATAAACGAGTTTTCTTTTCTTGGTATTTAAAACAAAAAATAAATCTATTGGTTTTGAAACTGGACATCAGATATTCATAATGTTCATCTTTTAACCTTGTTCTAATATTTTTATAAGGTTGAGTGCGTTTGCTAAACCATTTACAATACATCTTCCACAAGAAATATCCAGCCATATTTATATATTATTTGTAATTTTGTAAACAGCCTGCCAAATAGTATTCTTTTAATAAATGTACACTAACTGCATATTTAGCTTAATTTGTATAGACACTTTTTTTTACTAACTTTGTACTACTGTAAATAATATTTATATTAAGAGACTGATATTGTATTATAGACATCATTTTACCGAAAAAGTATGCAAATTGTTTTGCACTCAAATATGTGATATTCCAACGGCAACTATCATTTGTATAAACTTTTCACACGTCATTTTGTAAACACATTATTTTTTTTTCATGTTAAGTTGGTGAAAATGTATTTCCAGTCCTTTCCTTGAAGGTTCAAAATAATCCGTGTTAAATTTTATTACACGATACTATGGTCAAACTTGAGCGAAAATATATTTCATTTTATTACCTTATTAAAGGAAGTGGAAAATTAGCACGAAATTATGGTTCAGATATGGTGCAGTGCACTCTCCTTATGATACATTTCTTCTCTATTGTTTCAATCAAAAATGAAAGACTTTTTCACCAACCTAACAATTTTCATCAACCCATGAATTGTATTATAAGATAAAGTTTTCAAATAAAAGTTATTATGAACTTTTTACTGTTTTTCATTTTATCCAAAGCATGTTACACTTATGGTATCACAATTATTTCCCCATATTTTAATTTTAGAACAATCTGAGTGTAATAATCTTCTGACAGTGATGCAGCATACGGAAAATAAAAAACGAACCAACCTGAATAGCTTTTGATCTAATAATCGAATCTTCACGTTCTAGAACTTCATCTTAAGGCCCGAGGGGTGACTTCAAATAAGCTAACTAATTGGTGCCGATGATGTTTTAAGTTACGAAATCGGACACAAAAAAGTACTTTTTCTGAATAAAGGTACCTTTTTTTCCGACGGATTTGGGTTTCTGACCCTTTGAATATAGTTCGCCAATCTGTAAAATATATAGTAAATTTGTCCTTTTTTTTTCAGTTCGATTTCGCAGGAACTATTCGACCGATTTCACTCAAATTTGAATTTTGTCATACAAAATTACATTCTTTAAAATTATGTAAAAAATTTATACCAATTTAAAAAATTTTCGACTTAAATTTATAACATAAAATAATGAAAGATGATAAATAATTACTGAAAGTTAAATTTTGAACGTAATTAAAATGCAACTTTAAAAAAATATTTATTACCTTTGGATAAACAAATTTTATAAGTGGGCAAAATTTTTTTCATTCGCTTAAAAGTTCTAAAGATTTGCTAAAATAGGCAAAAAGTAAAATTAACATTTAGGGGTTTAAATTTTTAACCACTCTCCTAAACAAACTATCGGGACTATGTTTTGTGGGTCTGAAATTCGTCGCAAAAAAGGTATGTTTATTCAGAAAAGAACGTCTCTGTGTATTATTTCGTAACTTAAAATATTGTCTAAGCTAATTATTAGCATATTTAAGGTTACCCCCTCAAACTATTATGATTGAGTCCTAGAATGTGAAAATCCGATCATATATAAGCAAGAAATTATTTTAGAAAGAAAAAAAGGATGATTGAGGAAGAAAGAAAAGGATGGCTTTTTGCAGTACAAAAATATTAAAAACAGCATTTTCCATGCAATAAATTCACTTTTCTATTTTTCATTTTTTAAAGAATAATTTGCAAAGGGATAAGTAATATTAAAAGCAGTATTTTTCTGTGTAATAAGCTCGCTTTTCCAGTTCTCCGATTTTTAGCGACAATCTTCTAAGAGCTAATTATTAAAAGCAGTATTTTCCATGTAATAAACTCCCATTTTCTGTTTTCATATTTTTGGGGACAATTCACTAAGAGAAAAATATTAAAAGAGGTATTTTACATCTAAGAAATTTGCTTTTTCAGTTCTCATATTTTTAGGGACGATTTTCAAAGAGAGAAAAATATAGGACAAATTTTACAGTAGATTTGCAACCAGGAATTTTAAAAAAAAATTCATGTCCTAGCAGGCATATTAGTACATAAAGTACATGCCCAAATGAGACTGGTGCAACCCAAAACATCTTTTTCGAATGCATATAAATAAAAACATGTAAATGTGCTCATTATTGCCAGCCCCCTCGTGTTAATAAAATTATATCTGCATCAAAATTTAAGTATAAAACTGATGTATTAAATTTTATTTACAAAAAAAATAGTAAGTATTATTACAAATAAGCATTACAAACGGATCAAATACAGAGCATTATTGTAAACCAAGTATTATTATCAGAAGTATTAAAATTGTTAGAAAGAGCATGACTGTCAACACAACTAATTCCTTTTATGTCAAAATAACCAACGTTCAATTGCAGCTGACATATTTTAAGTTGAAAGTTGCAAAGAAATAGGGGTAATTTTTTTTAAAATAAAAGTAGGCATGATTAGAGGATTCAAAAAGAAAAAATTAATATTGCTTTATAAACTATTATTTGCATGATTCATTCAATTCAAAGCAAATTGAGCAGCATTTAGGTTTTATCAAATAATATCAATTTTCTTTTCTTAAATATACTACAGTTTATACCATCCAGCATGTTGTTGATTAATGACCTTGAGCGAAAGGGCAAAAAAATGTGTGTCAAATAAAAAAAATTTAAATGTGGGACAATATACACTCATGGACAAAAAATTTGCGCACTAAGAAGGAGTCGTCAAAATGAAACGAAATTTTACATACGTAATGACTACTTTGATATAAGTAAATGATTAGAAAATCAAAGAAAACGAATAATTTATTTCAGAGAAAAAGGCAAAAGAACGGAGGAGTTAATATCCCGTTGGACCCCCTCTAGCGCGAATGTACGATGCGATAGGGTCGGGCACTGAGGCATACAAGTTCTGTATGATGTCTTGAGACATTTCGTTCCATATTTGCTGTAACCTTGCCTCTAGTTTGTTCAAACTCGTGGGATGCCCAACTCGCCGTACCAAATGATTCCAGATATGCTCGATTGGAGACAAATTTGGGGATCGGGCAGGCCAAGGAAGGGAAGTAACAGTACGGAGACAGTCTTGCCGTATGAGGCCGAGCATTGTCTTATTGAAAAATGGCTCCTGGGAGTCGTTGCATGAGTGGCAACACATGTGGTTGCAGGATTACATCGACATACCGCTGGGCTGTCATGGTGCCACGAAACAATATTAAGGGTGTATTGTAGGCAATGGCACCCCATGCCATCACACCAGCTGTGGGAGCGGTGTGTCGCTGTACAGCAAAGGCAGGATTGAGGCGTTCACCACGGTGTCTCAACACACGATTGTCATCACTGCTGAGATTG